GTAGCAGGAGTAGTAGCAGTAGTAGCGGCAGTGGGAGTAGTGAGTTTTGTTTGTAGGAGTAGCAGTAGCATTTGTAACAGTAAATAGTTGTAGTAGAGGAGCGATCAAGGTAGCAGCGGCGGTTGTAGCAATAGAAGCAGCGGTGTCTTTTGTTGAGTTCTCTTTATGTTCGAGCGACGATATCGGAGTGTTTGCCATGGTTCCTCGATGCGACGTACTCATTGGCAACACTGCGTGGGGTATTGGAGTGTAGCACTTCCGGATGGACACCGGTTTTGAAAACCCCTCACGGTCCTTGCGAAGAAATTATCAGCACATCTGCTCGCGGAACACAGCACTGGCAGGGAACCTTGGGGTACGCGGTACGCGTTGCCCTATACTGCAGCCCCGAATTATTTAAGGCCGTCTGCCCCAATCCGGGAAATCCCGAAATCCATATGACATATGCTTGCACCATAGCCAGACCCACGTCATAACAGGTATGGCCGACTGTACTCCGTGTCCTGCTGAAGTACCTTGCGCGTCAGATTCAGGCCCTGGTAAAGACAGGCGTCTCGGCGAAATCATGAGCCCATATAGACTCCGAAGCACCCCTGCAGGACCCTGCCCTTAAGCAAGACGCTAGATATACGCTTTGTCCTAGCACTAACCGCTTTATATTGTGGGTCTCACCCAAGGCGGGCGCAAAACGTCCTTTCGGGCCGACGCAGCGGCGACCTTTGTGCAAGCGATTCGAGCTGCCTTCCGCAAGGCCGGGACTGTCTGCTGGTGCGAACCCAAAACCGTATCATAGCCGTGCCCAGGGTCGGCGAAGCAAGCAGCCTGACTTCACCAAAGTTCATCCGCAGCTTGGTGATGTTGGCCTTCTTGTTGACACGGTTTTGTCGGCCTGGACGTCGGGGGTGTTGTGCGATCCATCATTTTTTAGCGGCTTCAAATGCAGTCCGGTCGGTAACAGCTCGGCAGAATCTGGTCATGGTCTTCACCGAGGGGTCGATCGGAGACCTTCCAAAGTCTGGGACCGCGGCCTGTGAGGCTAAGCCGACAGCGCTCAACTCTACGCTGAACCATGCATCCTTCAAGCTTCGCCCCATCAAGACACATTATGGTGTAAAGCAAAAGGAAAGACTAGCGACCGCATAAACCAGCAAACAAAGCTGAGATCAGAAGAATACACCACAAACCTATGTAACCTGACCAAAAAGGCAAGATCGGACGATAAAGCACGAAGTCACCTCTCCTTCAGCTCCATCTCGGCGATGTGCTTTCTGCATAGACTTACCAAGGTTCGAGCTTTGGGGGTGGCGTTGTTTCGGGTTCAGGGTGTGTTAATAGTGTTGCAGGGGTTAGGGCGTCTGAATGAGGAAACTGTGGATGCACATCGAAGAGGTGCTCCGTGGGGGTCCCAGATGGCGTGTATGCTGGGATTTGCGGATGAGCATGCCAGACTCCCAGACTGTCGGACCTGTTAATAAACGTGTCTATCAGAGTCTATCAGCCTCTTCAACGACACCAGTTCTGCAAAAATAGCCGCAGGCTGCAAGGGCCAAGACAGCAGGGAGCAGGTTAGGTGGAGGGTTGTAGGCTTCAGAAAAAGAGTTGGATTTCAGGCTTGCAGGCTGTGGTGGAGAAGAGCGACTCTCCATGTCGGGTCGCAGTCGTCTTTTTGGACCCAGACAGCTTTGCCATGAAAATGTGTGTGTGTGTGCAGTTTCGCAGCCGCTGTTTCATTCGGACCTCTACCGTTGGCTTCGACATGCATGTCTGTTTTGTTCGGGGGATGCTAGCGGCTAGCGTTATGAGTGTTCGTATATGCATTCAACATTATTATCTCTCTCCCTCCCGCTTTGTGTTTCGCTCGATGTATACAAAAATCTGTGTATATATATATATATACAGATATGTATAATTATATGCACGTGCATGTGCATGTGCATGTGTATGCGTGTGTATGTATGTACGTATATATATATATATGTACATATATATATATATATAGATATACATACACATACAAACATGCACTGTGACATGTATGTAAATAACCATATATATATATATACATACGTACATATATTTATATCTGTTTTTTCTGCATGTGCGGGTATGAAAATTTCGTTATTGCAGGTAAGTTGTAGGTAGGAACTCACATAGCCATGCAATGACAGAAGAACAAGACATGCCAAGATATACCTCTGCATGCGCAGATAATGATCCCAGGTGTTCAGCAGCCAAATCATGCACCCAACTTGCATTTCTACTACTGCGACTCGACCGCAACAGTCCAAGGCAGAAGACCTGACAAGATGAAGCCTGAGATATGCGGCCTTCAACTTCAACGTTCCGTTAAAATCCGAAATCACCCAGCCAACGTGGAACTCAAAGGCCAAACGAACATAGTCAGAAGTATACCACGAGGCGATAGTTACAAGCCCTTCGTCTCCAGAGAACTCGCTTTTGACGCTGAATGAATATTTGTTCTTGCAGGTTCCGGTATCAAGCTTTGCAAACCACAATGTGCGGAGCCAAAGGTTCATAAGCCGACACCACTGTCACAAGCTAACTGCAGGCCGGGTCACCCAAGTCAATCAAATCTCGCCCAAGCCCAGGGGGGTTTGCTTTACTCAGGCCCACCTCCCAGGCTCCTCTTATGCTTCTCTCCCTTGCCTGTCCCTGAAATAAAATACATGCCTCAAAGCTTGCTCTGCTGTTTTTGGTTTATAGGTTTTACTAAAGGCACTGTGTACAAATCCATAAAGCACCCACAAGCTTATGACTATTATAACTGCAAGGGGGGGGGGCGTTGTACAAACGCCCAAAAGACCAAAACCTTATAGCAGGCGAATACAACCTAAGAGCCCGAAGCCCCACACAGTCGTAAAGCCCCATGCAGCCCTGAACCATGACCCCCATAAAACACTTTAAATCCCAACATTCCCAACCGAAGCTAGGTAAGCCCTAAGCCTTCACACAAAATACGAAAGCCTCACAAGACCCTGCACCGTAAATGTCATATCTCTTGTCCGAGTGTGAGTGTCAAATGTCATATCCAACCCTTCGGCCCCAGCGGAGCCATACTAGAACTTCAGTTTAATCAAAAATAGACCTTTACAGAATTCTCACAGAACCTTCAGAAGGCAAAGCGGCCCAAGAGCTGTGCGATGGTGCCGAGCTCGGCTCCCTGCGCGAGCTCCTCGGCAGATTGGGGTTCAAGCTGCTACACTAACAATCATTCTATAGGGTTATTGTTCCTGGTGTTCCATAAGGTTTTCGGATGTGGGGTTCTAAAAAGGTTTTGATGCAGGTTTCTTTCAGGGACTTTCAGGATACAGTTTTGTATGGGTTCTGTCAGGGTTCCGGAAGGGTTTCCGCTAAGCCTAAGCTTCCGTATGGTGTTTAGCTTGCGAAGGGACCTGGTGTGCCCTCAGGTTAGGTCAAGTTAAGTTGAGAGGTGTTGGCTTTGCGGGCAACACCCCATTGTTCAGTCGTTCAAGAGGGCTGTGGAGTTTTTGTGCTAGTTTTGGGGCTGAGGAAATGTTGAGCGGGTTTAAAGGTAGCTTCCCGGGTTCTCCCCCTAACCCTTAGGGTTGGAGCTCAGGGCCCCGGAATGAATCTCCTGCAAATGCCGGAGCTGCGGAACCCGTACGGTCTTGGTGTTGCCTCCCGTTCCGAGTCAGGGTAGTGCAGGCTGATGCGGGATCTAGGCTACAGACAAGGTTTCCGACTTCCCTGTGGCGCAACAGTCTGAAGGCACATGGTTCTCGAGAGCGTCCTGTTTGGCTCATCATTTGCATCACGACAGTTTCTATACGATCATGGTAAATCAACGTCGTAAGCATCCAGCAGCCTGAACCCCTAAACTGTGAACCCAAGCATTGAGCTGTATTTCCTTCTCGTGGGTTTACGCACACCCGGCTTTGAAGTCGAGTCAAGGCTCTAAAGATCTTTTTGGTATCTCAGAGGATACCTTAAAGGAAAGTGTCCCTCCGGAGGTTCTCGCCTTATAGGCCCTTTGGTTCACAAGAGCTCAAGCATGCACCGTCCAAAGGGTCTACAGTCTGAGTCCAGGCGATGCTGCTTTTCTCTTCTTATAGTTCATGCTTATAGTTTGCCTTTTGTGCATTGTCTCTTGCTGCTGCTGTGGCTGCCACGAGCCGCGGTGCTACACTCTTCACCTCCGCGTGCTCAGCAACCCAAGCGGCCAAAGTGCTCCTTCCCCCGAAGCCCTGCACCATTCCGCTCGAAGTGCCACACTTACTAGGGAAGCCTGTCGTCACAATTCATTACAATGCCCTGTGCATGGCTTCCTCCATGAGCCCCGGAATGCCCTACAAGCGGTAGATTTTAAGTCGTCCCTGCCTGGGCGAAGTCCCAGGTGCCGCAGGGTTTGGGCTAGTTTTCAATACCTCTATCGTTGTTTCCCATCCAGTGTCTAGTTTCTGCGCGATCCACTGTAGATCGACGTGACACTTCCAGCGTAACCGAGAAGTCTTCGGGTCAAGGCTGAAGGGCTCATCGCTCCGGAAGCTGGTCCGGGCGCTGCTTGAGGTGCACTCCAGGGCCTCCAGGGTTCCGGCTTTGTGGATTTGTGAACTCAATGTCCGGCTCTTCCCACAGCCGAAGTTCCTGAGCCGAAGGCCCTGAACGGCCTCTTCATAGTAGGTGTACTGTTGGTGGTGGCTCGTATTTGTTGTCAACTTTGAAACCCGTGAGATCTGCAACGTCTCTAGTCTCAAATGGGACTCCCGTCAGCCTATAGACGGGTGGCACTAAACCGAACCTGCACAAGTTCGTAAAAAGCTCCACGAAATCATGCAGGCTTCGATGGGAGGTAGACAGACGCTAAAGCTCTAAGCTCATGTGCCTACACGCTCGTGCCACACTGACTGCAGCCCTGAGAGCCAGGCGAGGTCCTACACCAACAAGTTCTGAATTTCTGAACATTTTAAGGAAGTTGATGAGGCTTTACGAGATAGTTTATGGATCAGGGTTTCGGCAGGAGCTTTCGTATGCTGCTTGTAGGAGGGGGGTTTGAAGAACGCTTGCACTGCTCTGTGGGCACCATGAAAAAAGTCCTTCGACAAGGCCGCCTTGAAAAGCCTCGACCTGACAACTTAGGCCGAGGCCTAGGGACCTGAGCTCAAGCTACTTTGACCCGGGAGCAGGTGGGGGTGAGGATTCGGGCTCGGGCTCGTGTGACTGTTCTTGGCCAAGAAAGGGGCTCAGTTAGCAGTGAGTCTGACTTTTCACCTCGAGTATCTCCGTACTTCCTTCTGATTTACTATGCTCATGTCGCCATGTAGGCGAAGGTGATGGATCGCTTGAAAAACCCTGCAAAAAAGACCCTGCTTATCTTTGTCTTGAGCCGACTTCAGCCAAGGTGGAAGGAAGCCAGGCGCTGCCTGCTGGCCTAGAGGCTACTGCACGCCTCATTCGGCTGGCAGAGGGGGATCTCGACGTCCCCTTTGTTTGCCAAAAGGCTGGGTTTAAGGGATTAGGGACGAGGGGAGATCTAGATGAACCCCACTTAGTACCCTGAAACCTTCATTGACCTCTTCCTCACACACCCCGAGGCTACAAGACGTAGAAAGAACCCTTGAGGATCCTTGCTTCGAGCCAGATAAAACCTGAAGGATCCCCTTAAACCAAGATACTACCAACCCTTCACGACCCATGGATCACCCTTCGGACAGCCCCCCCAAGACAACACCAGGCACTTAGTCTACTCCGCAGCTGCGGCCAGCCTGCATCTGCTTGCCTAGCTGCGATTGCCGTGCGCTGCTCACTCTCCTTCCGAGATCCTTGGCTGTACGGCTCATGTGGGCATAATTGGGCCTGTCGTAGGCTTTACCGTTTCATGAGGAGTTTAGGTAGGGTTCAGAGGTTATGTAAGGGTTTCGAGGTTCACATTTCTCTAGATGCATTCAAGGTTGTTGGCTTTTGGGTTTTATTCTGCTGTTTTGCACAGGTTTAGGGTTTCTCAAGTTCCAATCCGACACCGTCTAGGTAGAGGCCGTATTATAGGGAACCTTACGAGCCCCAATTAAACCCCCGAAGTCCGAAAGGGTGATCCACCCTGAGCCCTACGCCCCGGCACAAAGGTTTACGAATCCCAAACCTTAATTTTAATCCCATGCCCCTATAAACCGGGGCTTCTAGGACTGGCTCCTGCAACACCACGAAGAATTTGTGGCGGGCATCAGCAACGCCTGGGCGCAGCACCGCTCCATCGAGAATATGGAGACTTCCTGGCTGGTTGTTTCTCCGTAGTGGCTGCGATATACTGAGGGTGGGAAAGTTCAGGGTGCAAGGTTTGGGGTTAGGCGTGCCTTCATTAATTAGTGTTGCCAGGAGGCTCGCGTTGTGAAAACAAGGCGCCTGTGATGGAAACGAAGCGAAACAGCGTGTTGCGCCGACTGACACAGAATTCATCATCGGATGCCCATATTCCTGCACCCACTCTGCTGCTCCAGAGCTTGACTTGTTGATGGTTGCATGCATGGTATAGTGTAGCTACGATTCCCCTGATCACTACTATTTCTCCTGTTGTGATTCTGTCTATTGCTGGCACGATTGTGCCATTATGCATACCGAATCCCGAAACCAGTGGGTGCCTTGGTCAAGAACCCGAAACCTGCCGGCCGGACGGAGGAGCTAGTACTTCGCTTCGCCCTTAGCCTCGACGACTTCACCGTGCGAGAGGCGCAGCTTCTCGTGCCCCTCGTGGCCGACACCCTGGAGGCACTCCCGCAAGTAGGGGGTTTCTGGGGGGGTGGAGTTCGGGGCGTTTCACATTTGTAGAGCTACTGGGACGCCACAGTTTGTGCCAAAACGTCGCGTCAAAGACCGGCGCGGTGCCACTGTTTGTCGGTTTCGGCCCTGTAAAAAATGTTGATTTCAGTGCTTTGGAGCTTATTATATCGTACATGATGCCGTGCATGTGCACTGGGTCCGTTCCGAGTGGCGCCATGCTGCTACACCCTGCGAAGCAGCCAGCGCACAGATTGATGCGCTTATGACCCAGGCAGATGCCCGAGCTGATGCCAGCCTGGCGGCCAGCCGTTTCCGTGGTAGTGGAAACAGGTGCGCGCGGTTCTTCCAGGGTTAGGGCTCCGAGAAGATAAAGCTGTGAGCTGTGAATTCAGGAAGCTTTGAAGGGCCCCCCCCCTGGGGAGCACCTTTAGCTCGAAGGGTTTCGGTTCTCTTTTCGAGTATGACTCTAAAACTCTCTCTTAAGCACTTTCAAACATGCATGTCAAACCACTCGAAAACACTAAAAACTCCAATCCACAACGCTTTCAAAGACACTCTAAAACACTTTAAATGTGGCGGCTGCCGTTCGGATCGCATTCACGTCTTTTCGGCGTCTTCGCTTGCAAATCTGATAGTGGACGGTTTCAGGGCCAACGTCCAGGGTTGGGGACGGGCTGAGGAAGGGTGTTCGGGGTCGGGGCTTGTGGCTATGGGATGGAGCGTTGGGGGTAGGGCCGTCCACTTCGGGATTGGTGGGGAGGGTCCCAGGTCCACAGATTTCACCTACCCTCAGGCGAGATGGGAGCTGGCAAACGGCCGGACCCCATTTCTGGACAACATTTCAACCACGAAAGGCCGACCTCCGCAACCCATCCTTTCAGGAAGGTCTTTGGCATGCAGGCTTCCCTTTTTAAAAGTGCCAATGCAAGCTACGGCTGCTTAAGGACGTTCGAGCTACGGGGCTCCTCAAACGAGGCCTTCAAGGGGCTCCTGAGTGAACGGACAACTTCTGTGTCGCTGTACAAGCACCATCTCAGGTCTGCCCCGCTCTCGCGCCTGGCTGACCTGTTGGCCGCTCTAGCCTCTGAGCTTAGAATAGTAATTCAGGGTTTGCGGAACCTTTGTGACGAGGGCTCATAAACAGTGTGTTTTCTTCAGATTCAGAAGTTTGGAATGTGATGCTCGCCGCATCAGCTCCCGACGAACTCCATGTCTTTTGCTTGTGAGCCGCCTAAAATCCCCAAGATGTTTCCTCTGAAATATTTCGGAGTGAAGGACCACGGGTCTGATTGATCCGTAGTCTAGACCGGACATGTTAGCGTTTCAACCATAAACGTTGGACGCACAACTACAAGCCTTCGACACTTAACACAAAATCTCATTGTCAATACGAAGGTTGATCTGGCAGGTTCGGGAAAAGAAGACCACCAGCAAAAACCCTAATTTGCAGGAACAATATCACCAAGGCTCTAACCAAGGTCCTGTGTTTCTTACAGAAATCCTTCATCCAGGTTTGGAGAGCCAGCGGCTCTTCGGCGGCAGCCGCAGAAGAGATCTCCAATCAACTCGAGAAGCGGTGCCTTCCATGGGCACTGTTCGGGCCTCGTGCAGTGTTCAGGCCAAGAGTTCGGCACTACTTCTCGGTTCTGCAGTTCGGCAGTGCTTTTGGATCGTGTACAGCTTCCATTTCCAATTGAGCTCCAAGACGTCGTGTGCTGCCGCTAAGAGTTTGCTCACTGAGAGAGTGGAAGGTTCAATCAGTGCTTCGGCTTCCAGGGCTTTTAGAAACCAGGATCAGGATGTACAAGTTGGTGGGAAGCAGCACGCAGTGGTTCAGTGCTTACCGGGTCGGAAAATTGTGGGCTTATACGCTTTCGCATACGTCTCTTCAGTTTAGAAAGCTGAGGAGATCGCGGTTCGGCGTTCCAAGCAGACTCATCTAAACTTTGGGTACTGGGTCTTGTGAAAGTTTTCACGGTGGCTGCACTTGCATGAGATCCCACTCCATCATCAATCGAAGTTTTTTGTGCAGGCAGCTACGTGTGAATCTGCTGGGCCTGTATCCATTAGCCTAAGCATGATCCATCCTTTCGCCTTGCTCCATGCGCTTGCTTCTTCATAGACATTGACAGCTCGATGAAAAGGCCCATGACATCCGAATTCCTGCTCGTCACGATTCCCATTATCCGAGACAAGAAGCCCCGGAGCAGCGAATGCTGAGCCCTGTAGCCTCAGGTGAACAGCATCTGCAACCTGAACGAAGCCGACTCTAACCCCAGTCAACCCCCAAGGACCCAGAATCCTGCACCTGCATGCTCAGTTTTTCTATCATTGCTCGAAGAGCAGCCTGAAGCCCTAAGTCCTAGACCAGTAGGCCTGCGACAGCCAGGTGTTTGGTGCGTCTGAGTGAGAGTCATGGCAGAGAGCTTTGCGCAGATGAAGCCGTGGAGCCCTGGCTAGGGTGAAGGGAAGTGCAGGATGTAGGGTCGCTCCATTTGATGTCTTTCCAGCTGGTTGATGTTCTTAGTCCTTTGGTCGTGCGGATCTTCCCCGTAGATAACCAAAAACGGGTTGTGAAGCAGGAGGAAGTACGCAAAGCATCAAAAAGAGTAAGATACATGGATAGATCAGGCGTACAAACAAGTGGATAATTAACAACAAATACCTGAACAGTCAAACATATGAGTAGTCAGTAGTTTGAACAGCCAAAGTGGAATGAAGAGTGGGTGGATCGATTGTTGGAAGGATGGATAAGGAGATCGATGGAATGAAAGATCAAAAAGCATAGAATAATGTATGGATAGGAGGATAGACGGAGAAATGGATGGAGGATAGATCGGTTGATAGGTACATAGGTCGTTAGATCGTGTTAGATTAGTTTAGATTTAGATAGATACATAGAAAAACAGATAGGTAGATCGATAGATAGATAGATGGAAGGCAGATAAATAGACAGATAGATGGATAGATAGATCGAGAGACAGACAGGTAAGTTTCAGATTCAGACGATATTTAGGTAGGTTAGGTTCGGTTAGGTTAGGTAGATGGATACATAGGTTGATAGATCGGGAGGTACGAAAACAGTCCAGTATGTTTGTGTTATATGCAGATATACGTGCGCTTGCGTGTGTCTATATACATGTATATAAACAGCTGTATACATAGTTACAGGCATACATAAGCCTACTCTATAGGACTTATATGATATGCTCATGTGCTTGTTTCATTCGTTGGCATGTATGTTTGGATTTGCCTGTGATGGCTACAGCCATGTATCTGTATGTGCGTACAAGCATTACATCGACAAGCCAATAAAAAGGTATCTAAAACCAGTATGAGTACGAACACAACAACCTCGGAAATAAACATGAAAGTGACGAGCAGTCAGGCATATATTGTGTAACCACGAGAGTTTCTAAATTCGGGCTTGGAGAGTAAGGATTGAAATTTTCAGGATGAAACAACCCACGATTACATGCAAACCACCATTGATAGAGAAATGTGGAGAGACAAACTTTCGGAATAATTGTGCCCCATTTTTTATCACCACGACGACAACGGTGCTGCCGGTCCCCAGTGAGTCTCACACTGCCCTGTTGATCATTCTGCAGAACATTAGTGTGGTTCAGGTCATCAAGTTGTGTGCTGCTGTGCTCCGGCAGCTGGATAAGGGCGCACGGCTGCAGATAGATGCTTGGGCCTGATTGAACTCACTGTTTACAAGGTTCGATTTGTGGTTGTGGATTCCTGGTTCGGGGCAGGAGCCTTCTTGGTCTCGGGTTTAGTGTGGTATGTGTCTACCTTCTTTGGGTTGGGGCAAGTATGGGCATGTTCATTTTCAGATCAAACACAGCAGGCTACGCCTCCGCTCAGATCTTGACGCGTCGAAACGCACCCTTCAGCTCCTTTCATTTGCATCGGTAAGACTGTTGGCCTGCAGGTACAAGGAGTCATCCGATCCCTTGAGACTCTGAAACCTTGTCTCAAACTCCTGCCCGAAGCACGTGCCTCGCCTGGAGATTCTGAGTGTAAGCGCCGAAACCTTTGACACCCTGAAAACTGGGTGACCTCAAATCCTAAGACCCTGAACTCTAAAGGTTCTACCCTGAGCTTCATGGCTGTTCTGGCTTTTTCAGACCTTGCCTGCCGTGCCCGACTGCGAGTGTCAAGTCTCCTAAAGTCCTACACGTAAAGCCCTTGTGTCTAACCTCCTAAACTCTCTGCCTCGAATCCTAAAACTCTTAAGCTTTGTTGCTCATCTTTGGAGCTCTGGAACCCCAGGAGCTGCCTTGGCTGCAAGCCTCGCTGGCGTCCCTGCTTTCCGCGACAACCTGGGCTCATCTTGGGCAGGAGACGCTTGCGGTGTAGAATTTGTGTCAAAAGGCAGGTCCTAAACAGTAAACCCCCAAATTCGTAGCTCAGGGTGGTTGAGGACTCGCCTTTCGAGTGATTCGGCTTTAGCACTGAGGAGTCTAGGATTTGGACCATCAAAACGATTGAGGCTTTCAGTGGGGTTTAGGTAAAAACTAAAAAGAGTGGAGGGTTTGTAGGTTGCTCGGGGTTTGGTGAATAAAGTGTAAGGTTTGGGGTCGAGTGAGCCTTAGTTCGGCAGCGCTAGGCGCCTACGTCGGGGCATCGAGGTGTTTCGGAAAGGTTGTGTAGTGTTCGCTTCAGTGTGCCATGATTCGTAAGGCAAAGTTCAAGAGCTTGACTTCTCTCTGCACTGCCAGGAGAAAGCTGCGACTGCAGATGTGCCGCGGGCTCAGGAGATCCTCGTGCATAGGCTTCAGCCTGCAGCGTCTGAGCAAAAAAGTACAAGTTCACAAACATGAAGCCAAGGCTTGACAGTCTTCTCTGTCGAGATTTTGGGGCGTCTTTGGCCTCACCAGGCACTGCGTCTGAATCAGGGGAGAAGTAATTAGGTTCGAGGGCTCAGGGGCAGGGTTCAGCCTTCAATGTTTCCTTAAGCCCAAGAGGTTTTGGGGCTAGGGTGTGTATGTGTGTGTCTGTGTATCAATGCGCTTTGCACCATATTTTGTTGGCAACAAGGCAGGGAAGTGCGTTTGACAAGTCCGGCATGCGGGATTCTTGAAAGTCGTGATGATGGTGGTGGGTGGTGATAGTGGTGGTAGTGGCGGCGGCGGCGCGGCGATGCTGGCTGGTGGCGCTGCGGTGGCGGTGGTGATGGTTGCTTTTGATGTCGACATTCCTGATATTGCAATGGTGCATTTTGTTATTGTTAACGTCCTCGTCGTTGTCCTCGTCGTCTTTGTACTTGTTGCTGTTGTTGTAGCTGTAGATGTAGATGTAGATGTAGATGTAGTAGTAGTAGTAGTAGTAGTAGTAGTAACAGTAGTAGTAGCGGTAGCAGTAACAGTAGCAGTAGCGGTAGCGGTAGCGGTAGGAGTAGTAGTAGTAGTAGTAGTAGTAGTAGTAGTCGTAGTAGTAGTAGTAGTAGTAGTAGTAGTAGTAGCAGTAGCAGCAGAAGCAGCGGTAGTAGTGGTAGTACTACTACTACTGTTGTTGTTGTCGTTGGTACAGACAAAAACAGCAGCCC